TGGTGGCCATACCATTTACCTTGCATGGGTGGTTATAAATATTTTATTCTGTTTATTGATGACTTTTTTCGTTACACCTATCTTTACCTTATGGGTTCCTGTGTTGAAGTACCCAAACTTGTGAAGCCATTTCATGAATTTGTGCTTACCCATTGATACCCATATCAAGATATTCCGATCAGATAATGCTAAGGAATATTTTGAGAAGATCTTGTTTCATACTTTGGGGTTATACATCAGAGTTCTTGTCCTTGTACTCCAAAACAGAATGGGGTGGCAAAGAGAAAGAACCGAAATGTTGTTGAAGTAGCCAAGAGCACCCTTTTTTCCTCCCATGTTCTAGTGAGATTTTAGGGCAATGCAGTCATGACAGCTACCTACCTTATTAACTGCATGCCTTCTCGAGTCTTAGGGTTCAAATCTCCCTTTGTTGTCTTGTTTCCTGAGAGTGAATTGTTTCCTATTCCCTTTGTGTCTTTGGGTGAACATGTTATGTTCATGTTCCTATCTCTCAGAGACATAAGTTTGAACCCAAGGCTTGGAAGTGCATTTTCTTAGGGTATGCCTCCACACAAAAAGGTTATTGCTGTTTTGATTCCACTAGTGGAACTCGTTTTGTCTCCATGGATATTACCTTTGCTGAGTCACTTCCGTTTTATGGTCATTCTTCCAAGGGCATTCCATTGAGCTGTTTGCTTCACCACTTCCTTTGCCTTCTCCTGTTGATCTTGGGGTTGAGTCTCTTGTGGTTCCTTCTATTCTAGTGCAGAGCCTTCATCTCCCAGTTCTTCCATTCCTGTTCTTTCTCCTCCTCCTCCTACTAGTCCTATAATTTTCATTACTCATCCTATTGTTCAGAGGTGGTACTGGAGACAAAGACTACGACATGAATAGGTCGTTCCCTCATCTACAGTTGAGCCTCAGACACTCTTAACCCCTAAAGAGAGGACAATTCACCACCTGCTCCAAAACCTCCCTTCCCAGATTTGGACCTACCTATTGCTATGAGAAAAGGTAAGAGAAAATCTACAATACATTGTATTTCCAAACACTTGTCTTATAACTTGTTATCCCCATCTTATTATTCTTTCTTAGCYTCCATTTCTTCTCAGCCTATACCCAAGTCAGTTATAAAGGCCTTGTGTAAGCCAAAATGGAGGGAGGTTATGAGAAATAAAATAGAAACACTTCATAAAAATAATAACTAGGATATTCTGGATTTGCCTCATGGGAAGGAACCAATAGAATGTAAGTGGGAGTTCACTATCAAGTATCATGCTGATGGCACCATTGAGAGGTATAAGGCTTGGCTAGTAGCCAAGGGGTATAGTCAGGTATATGGAGTTGATTCTATGGAGACTTCCTTAACAGTTGAAAAAATGACAATAGAGAGTTCTATTATCCTTGGCAGTGAGTTATGATTGGCCATTATATTAGTTTGATGTTAAGAATGCTTTCTTGAATGGAGATTTGACTGAAGAGGTTTATAGGTCACTTTCCCTGAGCTTGGTTTGAAGAAATCTCTTTATGGCCTCAAGCAATCCCCACGAGCTTGGTTTGATAAATTCGGAGCTGCACTTGTTGAGTTTGGCTATATACAGACATAGTCTGACCATTCCTTGGTTGTGAAAAGGAGAGGCACTTAGGTTACCTTCCTCATTGTTTACGTTGATGATATTGTAGTTCTAGGGAGTGCTATAGAGAAAATTCAGGCACTCAAGACCTTCCTTAACTCAAAATTTGAAATTAAGGATTTAGGGGATTGAGATATTTCCTGGGCATTGAAGTTGCTAAGTCTAAAGATGGCATCTTCATCTCCCAACGGAAGTATGTGTTAGATCTTCTCACGGAGATTGGGAAACTTGGTGCCAAACTTGCTTCTACACCTATTGATGCTAACCATAAACTCTTAGCTGATGATGGTGAGCTTTTGGCAAACAGGCGAGTGTTCCAGAGGCTTTTGTGGAAGTTTCTATACCTTTGCATGACACGACCAAATATCTCATATGTTGTTAGTGTGATTAGTCAGTTTATGCATGCCCTAGAGACACATATGGCTGCTATAGAACGCGTTCTATATTACTTGAAGGGAACTCCAGGAAAGGGTGTCCTCTTCTCTAAGCATGGACACATGAAGCTAGAGGCTTACACAGATGCTGACTAGATTGGTAGTGTTGATGATAGGAGATTTGCATCTGGTTACCCTGCCTTGGTTGCAGGGAACATTGTCTCCTGGAGAAGTAGGAAACAGTCAATAGTAGCCAAATCTCCAGCTAAGGCAGAGTACAAGGCAATGGCACATGGTGTCTTAGAGTTGTTATGGCTTAAGTCACTTTTGGAGGAAATGCGTATTTCACATGATAAGCCCTTAATGCTTTACTGTGATAATTAGGCTATGGCCAACATAGCTCACAACCCAGTTCATCGTGATAGGACAAAGCATATTGAAGTTGACCAGCATTTTATAAGAGAAAGGGTAGCTTCAGGGGAAGTTTGCCTTCCTTTCATTCCTCAGAGCAACAGTTAGCAGATGTTTTAACCAAGGGTGTTCCCAAGGCGAAGTTACAACATTATGTAAGCAAGCTGGGCATGATTGACATCATGCACAGCTTGAGGGGGAGTGTAGAGAAGATGGGCTGAATGGGCCTTAGTTTCTTTATGTTTTTAAAGTTATGTGATGGTGGGCCGAGTGGGCCTTAAGTTTCTTTTTTCTTTAAGTTATGTTTATGACTTATGTTTGTTAGTAGTGGGCCTGTTTCTTGTTCTTTTACTATTGTCTTTAGTGCTGGACGCCCTACTAAGGGTAACCATGTAATTGCCCTCATTATTACAATAAGAGAATAAAAGATATTATTGGGGGCTGAAGAGAGGATGGAACTACTCTCTCTTCTCCTTCCCTTTCTTCCATCTTCTTCCTCCATCACTTCTCTCTCCTTCAATCTCCTTCAATCTTCTTATTCTCTCTTGTTTTTCTTTTCTTTTATTTCAGATTATTGCAGGTGGGATTTACAAATGTTCTAGTGTATTACCTCTCTATGTTTAGGATGCCACTTGTGATTGTTACTTTGGATAATTGAGAAGTTGATGAGAGGTTTTCTATGGGAACCTTGGGAGGGAAAGAAGGATCATTTAATTAGATGGGAAATAATGAACCGAAGAAAATTGTATGGAGGCTTGGGAATTGGTAATGTCAACAACAAAAAAAAAGAACTTAGCTTTCCTTGGTAAATGGTTGTGGAGATTTCTAGTGGAAAATGAGAAGCTTTGGCATAAGGTGGTAGTTAGCATTCATGAACTCTGAGAGAATAGATAGGATGCTAGTTTGATATACAAAGCTATCCATAGTTTCCTACATGTGTTTCTTACTTACATCAGGTATGCTTTTTCTTATGGCAACAAAATTAACCTTTGGATCAGGGAGTCTCTTCTGAAAGATGCTTTCCCTTCACTTTACACACTCTCTCTCTTTAAAAATAAACACATTGCAGATTTTGTTTCTCCTTCCTCCCCTCTAGGGTTTGATTAGAATTTGGTTTTAGGAGAAATCTAAGAGAGTCTAAAATAATTTCTGTTTCTAGTCTTTTGGTATTGTTGGATAGGGTAGTTTTTGATAACTCTAGTAGGGATAAACGTATTTGGGCTCCCAACCTTGGTTGAAGCTTTTCCTGTGGTTCTTTTTTCAATTCTTTGGTTATGGTCAACTACATTATGCTCCAATTCCCCCAAAAGTCAATGCTTTTGTCAGGACGTTTTTCATGAAAGCATTAATACTTGCGATCAACTGAAAAGGAAGAAACTCATCATGCCTCTATCCCTTAACTGGTGTATTATGTGCAAATTGAATGGTGAGGCTGCTTACCAACTATTAATCTCTTGTCCACTGGCCTGTTGTATTTCAAATTGCTTTCTTGCTTGTCTTGGGTGTAGGTGGAATCCCTTTGGCAGTTTGAATAGGTTGTTTGATGCATCAGTGGTGAGGTGCTCAAGGAAAAGAGGTAGAATAATTTGGAGGTTCACAAGATCTGTGGTGGTGTGGACATTATGAGAAGAGAGGAATGCAAGAATTTTTGAAGACAGAAAAAGAGTATAGAGGCCTTAACTGAAACCATTTCTATACAGGTTTTACATTGGCTGAGGACTTTGGAGCTATTTTCAGATTTTACATGATGATATTCTTAGGGGCAGTTGCAGTATCCTCTAAGAAACCAAAAACCATTAAGGAATGGAAACTCCCAGGTAGAGGATGGTGAAAGCTGAACATTGATGAGAGTAGTATGGGTAATCCTGGGCCTTTTGGTATTGGGGGAGTAATAAAGGATGGGAACGGAAGTGCTCTTGCTATGTTCACAGGTTCAATTGGAGAGGGAGACTCAGTAAGGGCGGAGATTAAGGCAGTAAGTTTTGGGTACAGAAAGCTAAGTAGTTGGGAGTGGAGAGCTTGATCATTGAGGGGGACTCCAAGATTGGTAACAGCTGGCTACTGGGTGTTTCAGGAATGAAATCAGATGGGTCAAATGGTTTTCAAGGGATATGCAGGTTGAAGTTCAATGGGTACAAAGATCAGCCAAATAGCCAATTGCTTGGCTGATGGCTTAGTAAAACAGGGGGTTAACAGACAACATTTTTTTCTGGGTTGTAATGTAAAAGTTTATGTATGGGCGGGATGGGATATAACTGTACTTTGCTGATTGTACACACAATCTCTTGTTGTACTTATTAAATTAATGAATGAAATCTTCTTTTGTTGCTGATAACAAAAAGTTATTTTACCTAATTACTGTTCCAAAAGGAAAAGATCCCTCCTTTACCATTAACACTTTATACCTTAGGCTCCAGACTTGTAGGACACCCCATCTGTCCTGCAACATTTCAACCATGCATTGAATTAATCTTGCTTATTTCAATTTCAATTATGTTGTTGCTAAGTGAAGATAGACATGTATGCTACTAGTAATAAGAATTTGTAGTTCCTTTAATTGATGGTTCTCTTGTGCATACAGCATCATGTGCAGGGCTGCCGAGTTATGTTCCTTTTAGGATCTATATCATCCTATCACTTTTTCAGGGTAATACAGCCAAGTCCCATTCATGCATTGATGAAGATGGTTCAAGACTTGGCTCCTCATGTGCTTCAAGCTTTTATGTCCACAAATTTGGCTTTCGCTTGTATGTCTAATACCATCAACAAACCCATACCTCTTCAATTGGATGTATCTTTGCCATCATTTCAAAATGTTAAGTGGAACTTTGCCCGGTTGCTTTATTTATTCAACATACAAGTTGAGAGAAATGTTGCCACGTAAGTAGATATGCAGCTTTTTGTGGTTTTAACTTTCAAGATCTCGTGCAATGTCTAGTCATACTAGCTTTTTGCAATTTGTTTGTGTAATTAGGTGCAGAACATACTGTTACTTTATAATATGGAAGTTGTAGAGATAGTTGTTAGTTGTTAGTGTGTGTGGTCCCACTACTGTCTTTATATTTATTTCATGGTAGTTATGGTAGCTAGGCTAGACATATTTGTTTTATATTTATTTCTGTTTCAGAAGGGGTATTTGTATAACTCCATTAATGTTAAGTTATAAACATATAAATACTAATCAGATGGGGCGGCAAGTCAACCGAACCACACCCTTTTCTCTTTCTTCTCTCTTTTCTTCTTCTGTTCATGATCTTCTTTTTCTCTTTTTTTTTCTACTGAACTTATATCAGAGAAACAAACAGTTTCTGGTTTCTTTTACCCAAGTTGGTATCAGAGCCAACCTAGGACAGATTAGGGTTCTCATGTGAGCCTAATCCAGTCATCTGCATGAGAACTTTCCAGGACTGGAATCTTTGCATCATTGCCTGATTCTTGGAGGTTGCTGGAGTCTTGAGTTGCTGCCCAAGGGATTGCATGACCTTTGGAGAGTGCCTGGTGACCAGGAAGGATCAGAGAAAAAAGAAGTCCAAGTTTAGGGTTTAAACTGGAGATTGAAGGTGGCGATCAGTTTCTTTTTGAGAAAGAACTTCTTTTTATTGAGACCGACCTTGAATATGAGCAGTTTAAGCCACTTTAGAAGCAGTGGTTGACAGATTTCTTTCTTCCTTGTTCATTTCTCTAGGGTTTTTGATAGATCTCTGTTTTCCCTGTTCTCTTCTCTAGGGTTTTCCAAACCCTACGATCAGTTCTTTGCTCCCAGACTTGTTTTTTGACTGTGGATGATTTCTGGTTGATTATAGTGAACTGTGAATGGTTTCTGGGTGATGATTCTTGGCTGCGAAGTGATTTCTTGGTGGTGATTATTGACTGTGATTGATTTCTGGATGATAATTCTTCACTGTGAGTGATTTCTGGGTGGCTGATTTCAATCAGCTAAGGTTTTTTGCATAAAAAAAGGCCGTTCAGGGGTTTACTTCTTGAAATAGTGACCCTGTTAATATCTCATATAAAATGGAGAAGGCTGGAAGTGAATTAAAGAGTCAAGGGGAAGGTTTTTTAGGGGTTGGAAGCATGACTAAAAGTTCTTTTCAGATTACTACTGTTAGGTTTGATGGAACCAATTATTTGGAATGGGCCCAATCAACTATGATGGCCATTGAAGCTAGAGGCAAATTAGGCTATGTGACTGGGGATATAAAGAAGCCAGCCAAGAAAGACATATCACATGCCAAATGGGTTCAAGATAACTATTTGGTGATGACATGGCTGTGCAATTCAATGCAGCCTCACATTAGTTGAAATTATTTATGGGCAAAAACAGCCAAGGAAATCTAGGATAATATGAAAGAGACATACTCCCAACCTCTTAATATTGGTATGGCTTATGAATTGAAGTGTGAAGTGAATAATCTCAAGCAGGGGAGAAGCCAGTTTCCGTTTACTTTGCTACTTTGAAATATTTGTGGCATGAAACTGACCACTTGGAGACAATTGAGTGGGAAAGTCAGATATGCAACAACTTATAGCAAGCTGATTGAAACAAACAGAATGTTTGAGTTCCTAGCTGGAAGTTGTATCCTCATCTTATTCCAGTTAGACTAAAAAATAAGAAGGGAAATGCTAATGTGGCAGTTACTATTGATAGTGCATCGTCTTCCAGCATAAGGACCACATCCTTAGATGTCCTAGCTGCTGTCCGAGCTGCCTTGACACAGTTGGAGAATGAAGTTAGTACTTATGGACTCTCATCTCAGCCACCAGCTACTTCATTTTGTAGTCGTATGAGACTACTAACAACCCAATCAGTGGTGTATAATCAACAGGAAATTAAGAAGATGAGAGGAGAAAGAGAGAAGAGAAGAAGAATTCGAAGGAAGGGTTTTAGAAAAGAAGAGGATACTTAATCTGCCGCTCCCTCTTTCTATTTATATTAATTCTGAAGTAAGGATAAGACTGCTTACATGGCAAAAATAAAATCCTAATAAAAGACTAATAACTAATTGTGGACTGACTTAAATAACTAATAGTTGTATACGAGTACAATAGAAAGAGGTGGGGACCACATCAGTGGTTTCTACACTCCCCCTCAAGTTGGGAATAGATGTTTGTCATTCCCAACTTGCATAGATCTGCTTCTAACTTCTTTGAAACTGCCTTGGTGAGAAGATCGACAAGCTGCATGTTGGAGCTGATATATGGAAGACAAACTTCTTGAGATGCAACCCTTTCCTTAATAAAATGTCGATCCACTTCAATGTGCTTGGTTYTGYCATGTTGTAYCGGGTTATGAGCTATATTAATAGCAGCCTGATTATCACAGTACAACATTAGAGGTTTCTCATAGGTAATACCCAATTCATTAAATAGTGATTTCAACCATAGTATTTCAGCCACACCATTTGCCTTGGACCAATATTTAGCTTCAGCACTGGAACGAGAAACAACATTTTGTTTCTTACTCCTCCAAGAAATAAGGTTACCTCCTACAAAGGCACAATATCCAGAGGTAGACTTTCTATCATCAACACAACTGGCCCAATTTGCATTTATGTAAACTTCTATCTTCATGTGATTATTATCCTTAAATAGTACACCTCTGCCTGGACATCTCTTTAAATATGCCAATATCCTCTCAACAGCAAGTAGGTGGGTAGTTCTAGGAGGGTGTATATACTGACTAACAACACTGACTGCATAGTTGATGTCTGGTCGTGTAAGACAAAGAGTAGTTTCCTAACTAATCTTTGGAACATAGCTTTATCTTCAAGAGGCTCTCCACCTTCTGCATTAATCTTGTGATTCTGTTCAATAGGTGTATTGGCTGGCTTAACACCCAACTTTCTTGTTTCTTCCAACAAATCAAGGACATACTTACTTTGAGAAACAAAGATTCCATGCTTGGACCGAGCTACCTCAATACCCAAGAAATATTGTAGCTCTCCCAAGTCTTTTACCTCAAATTCTTGATGGAGAAGTTTCTTAAGAGACTCAATTTCACTGTTATCACTCCCTGTTACCATAATGTCATCCACATATACAACAAGTAGAGTCAAGGAAGTATCCACTTTCTTAATAAACAAAGTGTGATTTGATTGAGCCTGCACATAGCCAAACTTTTCAAGGGCTTGCCTGAATCTATCAAACCAAGCTCTGGGGGACTGTTTTAGTCCATACAAAGCTTTATTCAGCTAGCAAACCTTCTTACCTGTCTCTGTACTATAAACTAGGAGGTAACTGCATGTACACTTCTTCTTGCAAGTCTCCATTGAGGAAGGCATTTTTAACATCCATTTGGAACAAGGGCCAAGAGTAACTGGCTGCAAGAGATAATAACACTTTGATAGTGGTCATTTTTGCTACTGGTGCGAACGTCTCTAAGTAATTTATACCATAAGTCTGAGTAAATCCCTTTGCAATTAACCAGGCCTTATACCTTTCAATGGAACCATCAACATTATGTTTCACAGTAAACACCCATCTACATCCAACCGGTTTCTTCCCTTTAGGTTGATCAACTAGCTTCCAGGTATTGTTTCTTAGAAGGGCATCCATTTCTACCTTCATTGCATCCTTCCACTTAGGAATGGTCAGGGCTTCCTATACTGTTATGGGAATGGGAATATCAGCAATGGATGTAAGAAAGGACTTGTAAGAGGGAGACAGATGATCATAGGACAAGAATTGTGAGATACAGTGGGCTGTGGATGAGGTGCAACGGCGTTTGCCTTTACGGACTGCAATGGGAAGGCCAAGGTTATTCAATGGAAGTGAGGGCTCAGAAGATGGAGAGGGTACAACAGCAGAAGGCTCGTCTGTGATAAACTCTCAAATCCCGACATTTTTGACAACCCTCCCCATTACACCCCTCTTCACTTAATGGAACAGGTAAAGGGGCTTTTGATGTGTTAACCCCAACCTTACCACTCTTCCCCTAAGATGAAACCCTAGAGTAATAAGGTACATTCTCAAAGAAAGTAACATCCATGGATACAAATCTCTTTCCTGAAGTTGGTTCATAGCAACAATATCCCTTTTAAGTTTGTGCATAGCCAAGGAAAATACATTTTGAGGCTTTAGGGTCAAATTTGGAACGATGAGGGCCAAGAGTTTGCACGAAGAAGGTACAACCAAAGGTTTTAAGAGGGACAGAAAATAACTCTTTATTAGGATATAAAAGAGTGAATGGAGGTTTCATGTCAAGAACTCGTGAAGGGATTCGGTTGATGAGATACACAGCTATGAGATTGGCATCTCCCCATAAATGTATAGGCACATTGGAGTTAAATATGATACTTCTAGCTACTTCCAATATGTGCCTATTCTTTCTCTCAGCCACCCCATTCTGCTGAGGGGTATGAGGGCAGGTACTCTGATGGATAATCCCATGGTCAAGAAAATAAGAGGCTAGTGATGTTTTAAAGTATTCTCTCGCATTATCGGATCTGAAAATTTTGATTTTTACCCCAAACTGGGTTAAAATCATCTAATGAAAGGTTTGGGTCAGGGTAGGAACTTCATCTTGAGAACGCATCAAGTAGACCCAAGAAAACCGGGTTAGTCATCAACAAACAGCAAGAAGTATCTGTACCCCTCCATAGCAGTGATGTGATATGGTCCCCAAACATCGGTATGCACAATGTCAAAAGGAACACTACTTCTCTTATTACTTAATGAATAGGTTGTTCTACAATGCTTTGCAAGCTCACAACTTTCACACTTTAAATTGGACATTTGGATAGATTCAAATAAACTAGGAAACAAGCTTTTCAAAGACCTAAAGGATAAATGGCCGAATCAGTTATGCTAAAGCATGACTTGGCCAATAGACTAAGAAACAAAAGACCCTCTAACTTCACTACCTTCCCACTGTGAATTTC